TTGAATTCTCGACCATTTCCTAGACGCTTGCTTGGGTTTCGGTTGGAGCGGTCTGAGGGTAAGTCCTACGGTTTTCGACCCGTAACGGCCGCTGTGTTGTCCTATGGAAATGGAGGCGGAGGAGGTGGAGAAGGTGGAGGAAGTGGAGGTGGAGATGGTGGCGGAGGTCTCGGTATAATCTGTTCTGCTTGGCGTAACCGCCGCAGGGCCGAACGCGCGTTTATAATTCGTTTCCTTTTTACACTCTGTTCACATTTTAGTAATTTTCTCGGTTCGTGATGCGGTTTTCTATTTTGTATTTTAGTTACTTATTATTTTATTTTTTTTATAATGTCAATTAACCGCCTATAAGATGGTGTGTGTGTGTGTGTGTAACAAACACAAACCGAAACTCCAAACATAATTGTTGTTATTATTATTATACAGACAGACAGACTTGGTTTATTGATAATTAATACAATGCGGTAATATGTATAGTGGAGGTGAAAAAAATGGCCAAACAATAAATTGTCCAAATGGCAACCTCAACACATTGTTGCATATTTGTTTTGTTCAATTTTTTAGATTTTCTCATACAGAATTACATTTTTAATTTACATTAAATACTAACAAACTGTACGGAAATTTCAATTAGACTTTGGCCGATTATTTTTCTTTGGCCATTTTCTCCACGACCATTATATTATCATTATTTCCTAGCACCAAGTCTAGAGAGAGACTGTCCCTGCGACCGAAGGCGTGATTATATTAATTGCATATTATACGTATGTGTGTATGTGATGTATAATAATATTATACCGTCGTGTTACATTATTATTATTATTGTCTTGCTTACCTGACACTGCGTGACGAGACCGGTGTAATCATTAGCGTTATACACCGCAGAGAATCGGTGGTATATTGCCGTTGTTCCGGTGGTGTGGTTGTGTGTGTCTGTTAACGACGGACGACCGCTTGCAGTTTATGTGTCTTATGTGTAAGGCGGAATATAATATAATAATAAAAAAAAAAATAATATAAAAAAAAAAGTCCAATAGGTGTACAACACGACTTGCACCGCTGCATAATAATAATAATAACGATATCGTTACTGTAAGAATAATAATATTACGGCGGGTATTATAAATACTGTTTGCAAGTATACTACTACAAGATAAGAATATAGATAGGTAGGCATGATGTATTTTAATTGTATTATACTTTTAATAAAAAATATATGAAAGAGACCGCGGCTGAACGGGCAACCGATTTCGGTCGGGTCGTCCGGACGAATGAGGCTCAAACAAAACGGCCGTTGCGAAGTGTGTGTGTTGTAATCGCATATAAACGTAATATAATAATAATAATGATAATAGTAGTAAGGTTGTAAAAAAAAACGGGCAGGACTGGACAAAAATGGATCGATATAAGTACATACAAATGCCGAAGAGCTTTTGCGTTATTGGCCGCGGCCGTCGTCCAATGGCGGAATAGGCGAACACAGGACGATCAATATATAAGTATATAAATGTACATATAAATACAATATATAAACCATATAAACCATACAATATATATATATATATATATATAGATCTAATAAAAAAGCTTTGTCGTTACCCCATGTTATATAATGTAGATACATATATACTTACACACCGAGTATTATGTACTACTCTACTGTTATTGTTAAAAAAAAAAACCGGTGCAATGCGTGTCTTAGACACGGAAAAGGGATAGTTTTTTTTCATTATTTTACTTTGCCCTATAACCGCCCCCACTAGCACAAAAGTACCGGTGAAAAGTTCACAAAGGTCGCTTTTGTGGTGGTGGCGAACCGCGCGTTGCTACTTGACAACGCGGCGGCACAACAAAAGGTACCATATATAATGTATTATACGAATTTGGGGGGTTATTTTTTATTTATTTTTTGTAAGCCAAAAAGACAATTATTATTTCCATAAACATAATACTTAACGCGACCCGGCGAACGGTAAATAATGATGTACCTACGTCGCTCTGCGATTGATGTTCGTTAATATTATATATATTTTGGTTTTTTTTTATTTTATGATAAATTGATTGGCTTTTTTTTGTTTGTCTCGTGCGCCTAATTGCTTTCCGTTGGGAAACGAATTGTCCGTCGTCGTTATGAGTATAACAATAATTATTATTAATGCACCAGCCCCGTTGTCAAGAACCGAATAGTACCTACACGCAGAGGCGGACGATTCCAATAAAGCAAAATATATAAACATAGGTTAGCCGATAAGAACTATATTAAAATAAACTATGGGGACCAGATACAAAAATGCAAAAAAAAAAAGTACTCAAGTAAAAGTAAAAAAAGTAGTAAAAAGAAAAGTTACTTTTTAAAAATTAGCACTTCCTCTATTTTTTTGTTCTATTAAAAACTAACAATATATTATAGTGTTGTCCATCAGCATGATAATACATAAAATCTTTTTTGTGATCTGATTACTAAAAATAGCTACTATCCACTAGAAAAAAAAAAGAAATTAGAAATTGTATTTTTATTGCAAGGTCGATTTACTAGGTGAGTGTCTTATTGTGATTAAAACATTTGAAAGCATAACTCACACCGAAAATAAAAATGCAATATTCTGGTGAACGAATATTCAAAAAAACAGGAAAATTTAATGTACCTACTTAACGTTATTGTTAAGGATACCAAGATTGTGGCAAAACAAAATGAACATTGTCCAACAAAAAAAAATATATATATGTCTGGTTACCATAAAAATTAAAAATGTCCAATAGCTGGCATTCCATAGGTATCAAGTGCTCGAATCCAATAGGTATCAAATAGGTTCACAAACTAGTAAAAATATGTATTCTAAGCCGTTAAACACTCGGACTATAGGTGTATATGTTAATTACAAGCTCCATTCACGGACCAAGGCCCATGTGAACTTTAAAACCATAAACACATCCCTTTCCAACGTTGTTAGCCAACATATATATATAATATTATTATACGGTATAATACAGATAGTACGCAATTTATCTTGGATATATATATATATATATAAAATACAATGGTTGTTAAATTTGTTTTTATAGTAGCACAAGAAAAAAAATGAATTTTTACGTTTGGTCGTCAAGATAAGTAATAAATAAAAGTCACGAAAAAGTAATATAAATTAGTTAACAATTGAATGAAAGGATAATATAAGACAATATTTTGTTGTAGAAAAAAAATCCCGTAATGACTAACACTATAGTGGACATTCTTAGTGTACTTGCAGCAGACGTGACTGCATTTGGCCGTAAAACATATACATATGTTTTTAGATTTACTTACAACTTTTTTTTGGTAAGTACTCTATTTGTTTTCTGACCATTGCAGTAGCCAGTATATGAATACTTTGGGCTGTTGACATCAAAATGCGAAGGAAATAATTGTGTTGTTTGTACAGTTCATGGCAAAAAATATTAAAAAATTACCTACTTTATTGTTTTTCACTTATTTTTGTTAGTTGATTTTATTTAATTTATATTTGTTTGTTTAATTACAATATTATCTACGGTACATAACAACCGCCTGTTATGCTATTTTGGCAATAAATATAATAAAGCCAAACACTATGTGGCGACTAATTATAGCTTGATTATTCATAAATAAAATAATATGTTTACCATTAAGTCCAAATGCGCACCGGTTAATTATATTTTGTTTTGGCCTTAAACACGGGTCGACACAGTTCTTGAATTATTTGTACGATCAACATAGCAATTATTTTTTTTTTATAATTGTAAAATTAATATTATTTAATGTTACCCTTTTTTTTGTAGATATGATATTATATGTGTAGATATGATAATATATTATTATTATTATTTTAAGAGAGGTCCATTATAATTATACATATGGAGTCCTATATTATAATGTCCTCGTATAGTGTTACCGGTTACGCCTTGATAAATATTTTGCTTTTTGGGAAATTATATTATATAACAATATAATATACATACACCAAAACATGGAAATCGTTTTTGTTTAGCAAACTAGACAAATATAATATTTCCATAAATGGGTTTGTTAAAACAATAAAAAAACATAGTAGGTAGTTACCTAACGGAGTACTTACAAGTTTAATCAGTAAGTAGATATTATATGGCTGCGGGCTGCGGCTATTATTATAATAATATATTTTGTTATTAATTTTTTTAAACTTTACCTTAGCCTACCTCTTTCCTGTTTATGTATAAAATGATATTATCATGACCATTGAATTATTGTATTAATATTGCCATTGTTGTTATAGACTTTACTTCCAGTTTCAACTTTTATTCGCTATAACTTTGCTATGCTAATTTATAATTGGGTTTGATTTATACTGTACTACTTTGGACTGCACTGGCTTAAAATGTGCTTAGTTTGAACTGAACTGGTTACTGATTAATTTTGAAATCATTAAGACATCCCTTTCATACGATGTTAGCCAATAAATATTTAAATAAAAATATATTATCTTACAGTAGATAGTACGCAATTTATCTTGGATATATTAAATAAAACGGTTATTAATTTGTTTTATAATGGCTAGAAACAAACGTTATGAAAAAGTAATATAAACTAGTTAACAGTGGAATGAAAATATAAGATAATATTTTATTGTCTATTTTTAAGGAGTTTTGTGTAGGCAATATTTAAGAAAAAAGTGGTTTTAATCAATTTCTTCCATGTCAATAATTAGTTTACCAGTAAATTTGTATAAGCTTCAAGGTGTTATTTTTATGTTATTATTTTATGAGTAAAAGGCCAGACATAACAATTTGATATTTCTGATTTCATGTATAATCGGCTAGTAAGTGCCATCAAGTTTAGTCATTACAAACAAAAGCCTCGAAATAAGTCGAAACTAGAGCTTAAAAAAAACAATAAATATAATTTCATTGTTGCTGGCTGTTAATTGTTTTTTTTTCGCATCGACCAATCGACCGTTTTACATAATATAGGCTGAATGTTATTGCGCATAATATTATTGCAGTCAATAATGATCAATTCCAGGACTGCGGTTGCATTGCTGGTGTTCGTGTGTTGTTTGGGATCCGACATCGACGACGAGGCGGTGTTGGATGGATTGCCCAAGCTAGTCGAAGCCGACATCAAAGACCTTTTGGTGAAAATCGAACAGCAAGCAGAGTTCGATCAGCCCGAGAGCGAACCTTTGGAACTTGTGTTAAGACACAGGCCAGACCTGTTCACCAACGTACCCAAGAAGCTGCTGGCGAAATTGCAGCTGTTGGGCGACGATCTCACCGAAATCTTCCACGGTTCCACGGTCTCTCCGCACACCGGTACCAAACCTTACTCGTCTTACTTGGACATCTTGACTCAAGACCTTCGGAGACGGGTAGAATTCGCCGGATCGCATGTCAGCGACCCTGTCAACCGGCCGTGTGCTACTGCAGCAAAAGCCAGCAGCAGCAACTTGGGTGTACAACCCTCGGAACACAATAATAGACTGTCGTCGGCAAAGCAGCCGTGTTGGCCGTTTAAAAAAGCATCGACTAAAAGAGGTGTCAAACAAACGACAAAACCTTGTCCGAGTACCACTGTACTTGCAACCGCTAATGGCTCCTGCTCAAGTACAACACCTAGCAGCACTACCACGACGACTTGCACTACAAATGCAACTACTTCCACCACCAATACCGTCGTGAGTACCACCACAGTCGATGATAAGGTCAGCACGACTTGCACCACTCCGTCCTCTACTGTGTCCGTCACCCGAAACTCCAGTCAAACTACTTCATTGCCGTTTGCCAGCACGGAAGACGTGCAACAGATGTCTTTGTCGTCTTCTGTTAAAACCACATCATACGAAGTGCCGGCTATCGTTTACAAAGTCTCAAGCGAGTCCACTGCTTCCAAGTCAAGTACACACCAAATGCCAGTTGAAGTTTCCAAAATCGATGCCCCGGCCGACTAGTGTTTTTTTCTGATTTAAATAACAATTTAAATAATAATTAATAAGTTATGTAATTCTTTAAATTTAAGTTAAAACAAATAATATGTATTTATTTACAATTACGTAGTTATTTAAATAAAAAACCAGTCGAAACATTTTAATAATTTATAATATTGTTGATTTTATATACTAAATAATTGCCTTTACATTTACCCCGTTCGTTTGCAATAATTATCGCCTGCCTAGTAATTCTATATTATACAAAGCGAACTTACTTTTTTTTTTTTAAAACAGTAACGTATTAAATAACAATATAAATTTGTTTTGGTTGCATGTCTGAAGGTTGAACTTAATGATAAGAAAATGGTAATTTTGGTAGTTTATCAACTTGACGTAGGTTTTAATTTACATTTCTACCCAGTCGCGTGCCCTCATTTTAAGAAACTAACCCTAATCGGTTAAGTTCCTATCTAGTTAAAATATCAGGGGAAAATATTTCAGTAGGTTAAATTAACTAAGTATTCTAAAAATCGAATCCCGGAATATTATTTCCAAGAAAAAAGCCTTTTTCTCGAAATTATAGCCAGTAAAAGTTAGAACTTAAAAACTCATATGGTTTTTTCAAATTTTAACTGTAAAGAAGTAATATTTTTCAATTCTTACCACCCCCAAAGTACCAACTAGTTAAAATTTGTGATTTATAGAGTTACTACTCGAAGAAATTTGTCCAGAATTAAAAATGTTACAGTGTATACAGACACAAAAAAAGCCTACATTATAGTTAAACCAATAGCATCTCTGCTCTGCATCGAAGCTACAAATATCGAAACATATTTAACTATCTTCCCTGTGCTACTAGTGTTAAATTAGAAAAAAATATTTAAGTAATCATTAAGTCAGATGTTTAAAAAAATGACAGTATATAATATATTTACTAAAAGAAATGTTCCAAGATTTACAAAAACTTGTTTTAACCGAGGCGCAACATTTATTTTATTTAGTTAATAACTGAATGTATAGGAAAACAGTTTCATTGTTATACCATTTTATTCAAATAGTCTTTGATTATGTTTAACGTTATTATACAAGATATAATACAAACGTTTTCACTGAAATATATCAATTATTCAACCAAGTCAAGTATGTATTACGTGGAAATCATTTTAATGCCGCTAAAAAAAACTGTTAAATAATAAATTGTCAAAAACGACACAAGTCACAAAATTAAAATTTTACTCTAGCCACAAAAACCGATTCAACTATCTAACTTTGCTGGCTTACACTGTGCTTGGGTTTGATTCATAAAATGTCTACATTAATTTTAAATAATTCAGGAAAGAAAATAGAATGATAAACTCTATTTGAAATACATTTAAGACTATTATTCGAACGTACTAAGCCTGATGAAAATATTACAAAATTATTGTTTTTACTAATTTGGAGGTGATTTAATTAGAGAAATGCTCAGTCGAAAAAATATTTGTATTTTGATTCTTTTCCAAAAGTTTACCCCTTAAAATCGAGAAAAACAAAAATGTACTATTCGGGGGTTTCAGTAAATATAACATATATATATATATATACATTTATTTATTTTTTATTACATCTCGTTACATTTACTAATTATTATGATACACATTTATATGGTTATTCGTGTTCACGCGACTATAAGGTTAATTTTTTAATTAGCTCCAATCATCGACCAAGGCCCGTGTGAATTTTTAAACCATTAAGACATTCCTTTCGAACGTTGTCCGCATTTATATAAAATATATTATTGTGTAGTAAAATCAAAAAGTTACCTACTTTGTTGTTTTTTTACTCATTTTTGTTAGTTGATTTTATTCAATACTTAATATGGTTTTTTTTGTATAACATCTCGTTACTGTTACTAATTATTATAATACACATTGAAATCAAAAAAGCTGATATTTTTAACTTTAATAAAAAATCATTGTTAAATATTTTTTATGGTAAAAAAGTTAATTTTTTGAATTTCTCAAAACAATTTTATGTATATAATATATATATATATATATATATATTTTTTTTTTTTTATTAAAACGATAGTCCATTTTTTTCAGAATTTTCGAAATATCGTACTTCTAAGTTCTTCCGTGAAGTATACATTTTTGATTTAACAAAATAAAAATCTGCGCAATACCTATTTTGAAGGCATCGAATCTCACACCACAGTGCCGCATGCGGAATGCAAGTTGCCAGTTGACTAGATTGAATCACTGAAGCGTGCACTACAACAACGGCCTATGTATTTAAATATATACATATACCTATGTATATTAAATGTATACAACGAGAGACAATGCAATGGTTGGAAAACGAGAAAACGATGTGACCGGGTCGTTGGTCTTAACGCCTCTGACGTTAACCGATAAAGGTTTTTTTTTTAAATTATATATACACATATAACCAATGAGTATATTTTATATTAGGTACATAGATATGGTGGAGGTGTATTTTCAATGAAAGGCAACTAAAATCTTATTGATTTTTACAGTAATTAACGTTTTTTTAATTACATAGAAACAACATTGTTTTGTAATATATATATTGAAGTGAGTCGGTTCTTTGTCTAGTCCGTTTCACCAATCATTGGATTTAATTATTCTGTTACGAATGATTACACCTGAAAATCTTTGCTATCAATTTATTTAACTAACGAAAAAAAGGTATTACGCCTCAAAGGAAACAGTGTAATACCAAAGTGAATGTGTCGCTAGGCATGATGAAAAATTTAGACAAAGAGTGTGAAAGAACAAAGAGAAAATATAGGTGGTATGGGCTTGTGGTCATGAGGGCGTAAATGGAGGGGATAAGACCACGAAATAGTTTTAGAGATAATGAGGAAGAACTTAGTTGGAAAGAGAATTAGCCAGAGATGGTTAGAAATACCTAATTGGAATTGTTTGGAATGAGAGTTAAGAAAATTCGGTGTAAGGAAAGTATAAGTTACCATGCCAAGTTACATGTTTTTGTTGTCTCTTTTTTTTTGGGGGGGGGATCAGTATTTTGAGGGTAAAAAAAACATCTAAATGACTAAATCATCATATCTGTGACGCGTAACAATCCAAGTCCACTTTTTACTAAAATTTGGATTAGCTCAAAGTTGTATCCTGTTAATTTTTATCATAATGATCATAAAGTCCTTTCAGTAGTATAGTTTATGAACCTAAATCATTACATAGTAGTGCATTTTTGTTTTTTGCTTTAAAAAATACCCTGAGACCGTATAACAGCTTGCCTGAAACTAAAAGATGTGCAGTGGCAAAGTTCAAACTATTATGCGAAAACTGAATATCAATTCACATTTCGTGTTACAGTGGTGTTATAAAGAAAAAAATTAACTTCCCCAGCGCCCTCAAGTTTCACCAATGATATATTAAAATATCGGAATCAATATATTTTTGGCTCATAGGCTAAAAAAAAATTGTTTTTTTTATGTTATATACTATTGTTGACGTTGGAAACATTAAGTCAATCAATAATCACTCGGACTTAAGGTATATATGTTAATTATAAGCTCCATTCATCGGCCAAGGCCCTTGTGAGTTTTTAAACCGTTACGACATCCCTTTCAAACGTTGTTAGCCAACACACATATTATAAATATATAAAATATATTATTATACAGTAATGTAGGTAGTAAGCAATTTATATTGGTTATATTAAATACAACGGTTGTTAATTTTTATGTTATAGTGGCTAGGAAAAAGGTTTTACGTTTGGTCGTCAAGGTAAGTAATAAATAAAAGTCACGGAAATGTAATATAAACTAGTTAACAATTGAATGAAAGTATAATACAATAAGACAATATTTTGTTGTAGCAAAAAACTCAGTAATAGCCAACCGAAGCGGTTGTCTGTGGGCATAAAAACTGTAAAAATGTGTATGTATTTTTATCATAATATGTTATTGTAGGAAAAAAATTGTGACACTGAAAATTTCAGTATTAACACTTCGGGCTGTTGACATCAAAAAGCGAAGGAAATTGTGTTGTTTGCACAGTTTATGACAAAAATAAAAAAATTACATACTTTAATGTTTTTCAATTATTTTTGTTATTCAATTTAACTTGTTACATATATGATGTTATATTAGTAACTAATGGTAAAATACAAATACTATTTGTTTGTTTAATTACAATATTGTATACAGTACATAACAACCGCCTGTTATGCTATTTTGGCAATAAATATAATAAAGCCAAACTCTGTATGGCGATTAATTATAGCCAGTATTTGATTATTCAATAATAAAATAATATGTTTACCATTAAGTCCAAATGCGCACCGGTTAATTATGTTTTGTTTTGGCCTTAAACACGGATCGGACACAGTTCTTGAATTATTTGTACGATTAACATAGCAATTATACATATATATATATATTACATCTCGTTATACGTTTACTAATAATTATAATACTGTACACACATGTATATGGTTATTTGTATTTCAATTTTTTTTTAAAAATAGTGTAAGTGAAGTTTTTTAAATTTTAATTAAATAGCATAACACAAGTGTAACTTAAAATCTGATATAACAAAATGTATCATCGTTAATTTTTAATTTTGTACACTGTTTTCAATTTTTTTTTTTTTTTGTTAAGTACCTAAATTCAAAAAAGTTAGTATCTTTTTTTTTTCAATTTTTTTTAATACCTACACTAGCTATTTGTACATTGTTAAAGAGCGAAAATAGTATGAAACTGATGTCACAAAGTATTATTTTTATTAATTTAACAATAATCGTGTTTGATAACATTAACAAAGCAATATTATATTATCTTTAATATGGGATAAGTGTTGTTTTCTAATTTCTAATAATTAGTGATCATTTCAAATTATTATTAAAAAACAATAAATATAATTATACTATGTTTGACCGTTTAACGAATAGCAACCATAATAATTGAATAGTGGAATTTCAAGTTTTAAAATAGCATGATCCAATTGTATGTTACAGCCATTACAAAACATTAGTTTACTGCATATTACTTTTTGAATTAAAAAATTAAAAAACTAAGTTCGTTCCTTGGTGAGAATTCTACTATTACACTACAACAACATCTATTGGATCATGTTATTATTATTACTATTTTGTATTAATTCATCTTTTTACAGGGAAATTGTCAAGTGTTGATCAGTATCATTAGTAACCATCGTAGCACGGTACCATTAAGGCGCTTTTCTCCAGAGAACAATGCGCTTTTGTTGGCAGCCAACACGAGTACTTTAGGGCCTAGTAGGAACATATTTTATAATATTGTTACATCGGTTTTGGATAGCTTTGATTGATTTTGTTATTATCATTTTTTTGTACACATTCGTCGTTATTATAGCAACCGAAAATGTACAAACAAAAATAGTTCCAGCACTAACATTCAGCTGTCGTCCCATTAAAATTTAAAAGGAATTCCATTTTAATGGAAATAAGAGAGTACTTTTTATACGCTATCGTTTCTCTGCGATAATAATAGCCAAAAAACAAAACTAAAACAATTCTCGTACTCGATTATATCTATATAATATATATATATATCATAAAATAGTAGTGTTGTATACACTTTCAGAATAGATCGGTTGATCATCATTTTTATGGGGAAAAATACAGTATTTTATTATATGCTCAACTCAAATGTTCGTTATACCGTATCATTATAGATGTTGGCACGACATAGCATAATAATAATAATAATAAAGCTTTTAATACAATAGGTTTATTACAATGGCACTGCGAAGTTTGCACAACGCTGGTATAAATGTTTCTTCATATAATATTACACGGTATACACCTACGTGTTAACGTCGAGTTACTCGTATTAAGTTTCTTAAAACAATAAAAAAAGTAGTAATTATAAATATAATTATATACTTGGGTTAGATTATTTACATTGATTTGCAGAGTAAACAATAGTTAATGGGCTGTTATGGTTTAGGCATAATACAGTACGTCGGAGCTTACACTTGGAGAGCCCGATATTGTATTTTTTAATTTATAGTAGCTTCACTGTTGGCAAAACATTTTTGACTTTTTACCAGAAGTATAGTATAATAAAAAATGTACGATACATTATAGTAAAGTAATATAAATTGTAGGGTAAAGTATAGTAAAATACAAAGTATAATATAAATATTGTGCAGTAAAAAAACATTGAAAACATTTTCGATAACAATAAAATATTTAAGCTATATAGTTGAAGAGTGAAGTGTCAAACGTTCCAAGCGCCAAAATATAAAAATTGAACTTAATAATTTGATTTTTATTTTATTCATTACCGGAAACACTTTAACATATTTTTGAGTTTTAAATATGATGTTTTTTTTATAAATAACTATTCTTTACTTGAAAAATTTACAAAATTGTTTCCGGTAATGAATAAAATACAAATCAAATTATAAAGTACAATTTTTATACTTTGGCACTTGGAACGTTTGACACTTTCACTCTTCAGTTATTGTATGCATTATGTGCAAGCCATTATATTATACTATTGGCCAAAAAATTACTTTAAGTGTTGATAATTATTTTAAAGCAACTGTAATTTGTTTGAAAAGTGAGTTGTCATATTGAAATTTCATACCTGAAATTCTATTCTTTATGTTTAAATATTTATTCGTAAATTTACAATTAGCTTAATACACATAATTATTATAGAGACAAAAATATTAAAAAACAATAACTGTCCATTTTTGCTCATTGGCAAAACTTTTTGCTAATAATTGGTATTTATTATTTGTTTTTAATTTAATAATGGGTATATGGAGAATGTTTTTGATATTTTCTTGGAAAAACATTATAATTAATAAAAAAAACCTCAAGACACACGATCATTGGAAATTGTTATTTTATTTATATTTATATTTAAGTTTTAGCATGTGTCTAATTACTTATATGTACCAAAAAAGGTATAAAGTTCAATTTTAACAAAATAATAATTCTTATTGTTAAGGATTAAAAAAATCCTCTCTTAAACAATTAAAATCTCATTTTTTTTTAAATCGATTTGCACAATTATTATAATATGTGATTTATATTTCTTTTTGTATTCATTTGTAGAAACTTGGATTTTAAAAGAACAAAAATTAATTTTTCACAAAAATGAATATGACCATTTAATTTCTGTCAAAAAGGAAAATAACCAACTTAATATTTTCCAAAAAAAAAGTGAGAGAAATTTAAAACAAACTTTGCATATTAAACAAAGATTTAAAAAGCCCGTTTTCAAAAGTTCTAAAATATTAGTAAATTTGACAAAATGTTTAACAAACATTTTAAAACGTTCAACTTTTAAAAATATGTCTTTATAATTTATTATCCTATTAATCTTATCTGCATTTCATTATATTATTTGTCAATTATGTTTTGGATAACTGTCAAATTACTAACTTTCTTCCAAAACAATCAAACTAGGTACTTCAAATTTTTTCTGTGCTCTAAGAAATTTTCCTTTTATTCGGATTTTGTGGATATTGTCAGTTATTTATTAATTAAATTATAATTTAATTCAATTATATTGACAAAAAATAAATGGTCTATGTATGTTGTGACCGTTCCCGCAAATTTGGCTTAATTTAAAAATAATTTAGCCTGTAATTTTAATACTGTAAAACTATACTTCTTGTTTAAGCTATACTATTAAAAACTAGTAATAAGTGTTATTTGAATTTTTTTCAATTTTATGACCACTCCAGATAACATAGAATGGTTTATAGCTGGCAAATAGGTAATTATGTAATGGTAAAAAAAAACTTCGATTATAGGAACTCTGATAGTCTGATAAAAAAAAACTTAACTATCAATTTAAGCTGTTCAAAATTGCCTATCCTAAGCCCCTTAATAAATAGTACCCGCTTGACGTTCTCTTAATATTTCTATTAGTACACATTATTTTTTTAAGTAATGTCAAGATAAAAAACAGCGTTTCTCCTTAAAACTTTTTGGCTTGAATTCAATTTATTAAAATTTATACACTTACCATACAAAAAGTAACTTAACAAATAGTAAGTCAATAGAATGAGCTTCCATGTGTTTTGATAAAACACCTCAAAATGTGATTATTGACCCTCTTTTAGTATTTCTGAAAGAGTTCATTAAAATGTGCAACGAATAAAAACTTTTCGGTGAAACTATAGAAGTTATTCTATCAATTATATTATAAGTTAGTTTTACTTTTATTGTCGAATGCACACGAACGTATCAAAATTGCCGTTATATCTGTAAAAGAACTGCAATGACTTTGTAACTTTTAATTAAAATTAAATAGTTTTACCTGTAACAAAATGTTGTCTGCAACAATAACATATTCAATTTTTTCAAAAATCTGTAGTTTTTTATTAAAGAAAAACTGACAAAACACTGTTTTAAATTGGTATAATAACTCTTGTCAAATTATATATGATTATATTTTATTACTTATTGTGATTTTTTATTTGTATGCATTCGATGGGAAATTAATTTAACTTAAGACACTTTCTGTGTTGAAAACAATAGAAATTGTTTAGTTTTAATTTTATTCTTTTGTAGTTTTTTTTTATAATAGTAAACATTTTACAATCGAGCGGTCAACATTTTCAGTACCTAAATTATTCTCAACGTAAAAATTTAATAAAATTCTACAATATATTAAAAAATAGTTTTTCGATTTTTTATCAAAGAGAAATTCAAAATAATAAACAAATCGATTATATGTAATGCATTAATTATTGTTGCTTTTAAATTAATAATTATTTATATTAAATACATTTTTACCATTTACAATTTGGCATCGAAGCGTTTTTCTAAAGGGATTTTATCACTTTTAGTTATAGTATAATTCTTGTGACCTTTTCGATTCCAATCTGTGCTGACTTTTTCTTGTTATTTTTAACGCTTAAAATTTGTTTTTTTTTTATATATTTCACATTTAAATATTTCATAGTTTTAAAAACTCACATTTTCTGTGACCTTAATTAGTGTGAACGAAAAGCGCTATTTATGAAGGGGCAAAGGATAGGCAATATTTGGCAACACTTTATCTAGTAACCATTTCAAGTATGCCGACTAAATTCAATGTAAAAAAAGATAAAGTTGTCTAGTTATAAAACTTTTAAAGTTATTTTAGCCCCCTCAGAAAAGATGTTATTCTTTATAAAAATAATTATTATAAAATAGATATTTCTTTTCTATGTATGTTTAAAAATTTTAGCTTAGTCAGTTTTAGCAAAAAAATTGCCTATACAAAGCGCCTTTATAAATTCTAGTGTAGAGGCCTCTTAAGAGATGGCGCCACAGCCACTACTAAATACTAATATTGTGTATTATTATTCAGATTGTAAACCGGCTGACCGACCGGCGAAAGGCAAAAAAAAAAAAAAATTTCTCCCACCTTGCAAGTACAAATTATTGTCATCGTCAGACCACCAGCAGAGACTTGTGCCATTATCTCTTATCATCTATATTATAGAAATTTAACAGAAAACAATAATTATTATCATTCGTTCGTTTAATGAATCGATAATAAAAACATAATTTATTATTATTAAATAATATTACTTCGGTTCGCCGTGTAGTTTCTGTAGTTTCGATTTGAAAACAACTTTTGTTTTTTCCCTAATATATTTATAACAGTTTTATTTTATTTTACACAAGACAAAATATCGATTTAACTGTACCTCGACCGATTCGTTTGTTCGTTTCTACAGCACACACACACACACAATAATTTTATAACTAGTTACACATTGGTGTTGTTCTTATAATTTTTTTTCCCCTTGAAACGTTTTTAACTGGCTGTTTGCATTTGACCGTTGGCAAAAATGAGGATCATCAGTCCTAGTATGGCCCGAAATTTGGAAAAGATGGTGGATTTTTACTCGCAGTTCAATCCGTCTTCGCTGTCGATCAAACAGTTTATGGATTTCGGTGAGTTACGTGCATAGAAAACGAAAACGTCGTGGCAATCGTTGTTTGACGTCTCGATAACGCTTCTATTGTAACATATACAGGATAAAGCTTAACATTTTTTTAAAAATTATAACGTATTGTAACCTGAATACTAGACGCAGACCTTACATCGATTCACCGAATAATAATTCTATATTAGTACTATGAATTTATTGTTAAATTTAATTCATCGCTGTACGCGAATCAGTCATTTGATCTTGTGATCCAAAACGAGTTTAGTATTCATAATCATTTCATGTCAAGTAAGTTCTAAATTTACAACTTACGCCAAGGCTACAATACCAATAAGCCTTACAACAGCTGGTGTTTGTGTAATTTGTCTCAGTGCATGCTTAATTATACTACATTTAAGTACTTGGTAAATGCCTATATATATATAAATGACCTAGACAATGAATACTACATTAAGGTTAACATTGTACAGGTGACCTTATTGTTTTACAAATTCAATTTCACACACAATATTATTGATTACTCTATTTTTTATTTTATAAATTTTCATTGCATGCAGTTTCAAATATATTATTATTTGAATTACTTTTTTTTTTTTTTTGTAATTGACTTCATTGTGGTCATAATGAGCACACAGTGCAACATATAGGAAAATAATTATTTAATCCGTAATTACAAATCCATTAATCTTAATCGACGATATTAACAATATTATTAGCACAAAATAATTGTCTATAATTGCCAACACTAATGTTTATCATTAATGCTGGCCTGATTATCAGAACTATCTTATTTTTAAGTCGTTAAAACATTCTTGTTTAACAATGCCCTTGAACATTTATTTTTTCTTTCAACACAATCTCGTTGTTAAACAAGAACTATCAGATAAAATATATCTAATTAAATTGATATGATGGTCGAGTAAGGTATTATTATGAAAATAAATTACATTTATTTAAATAATTGTATTATTCACTTATAATAAGTATTTACAGTATTTAATATAACTCATAATTTGGTATTATATATTGATAATTAAATTATCTATTCGAATTGTCTAACTAATTAAGAAGATTTAGTACCTTTTTAACTTTACATAAAGCTGTAAAATAGTAAAGCCGTATACAAATGTTAAAGTTAGTTCCAAATTCAGCAGATAAAAAATGTTAACACATTATTTATTACATAAATATTGCAACAAAAAAATGTATCTGATAAAAAATAAGGTGCAAGTTTAAATGAGCTACGTGAAATTTAAAATACGATTTATCAAAATATAAACATATTGATATAGTTTTAACAAAAAAAATTTGAAAGAGAAAACTGAGTTCCCCTCAGACAACTTTTTTTTGCGTTTGGCCATAATTGTGAACTATATAATAAACTCAAAACTAAATTTAAGTTTTATCTAGTAACTTTTAACTTCAAAAGTTATTTCTTAGAGTTATTTATTTCACAAATTTAAAAAAAAGTATCATCTTTGAAGTTAACACGGTTGGATTTTTTTAAATTGTTTGGTTTTACTTGTAAAATTTTTATTTGTAGAATAATGTTTTTATATTATTCATAAAATGTATATAACAAAAATAAACATATAACTGACCATAAAATAAAGGAGGCTGTAATCCAATTCTCAAATTAGACCTCTCATCATGACTTCCGCCTAAATTTAGTTTTTACAGAATATCATCAATATACAAAAAGCATTCATTTTCTTTTGTTAAAGAGCCAAATTGAGTAATAAATGTATTTCTTAATATTAAATCAAAACAAAAACTAGTAAAAGTAGTTTCAAAATATCTACTTTACTATACAACTGTTATAAACTAGTAAGCAAAGTACCTATAACAAATTTGGTCACTACAATAATAGAAAATTGTTATTAAGAGGGATGCTTGAACCCCTTGTCCCTTAATTGTACCAACAAAATTCAAGTATGTTTTCCGCTAGACACTTTTTGTCCCAATTATATATTGATCTAGGGACGACCGCATTGCAATGACAGAGTTTAACTTAAAATACAAGTTTTTTATTGGTCGACAAAAGTGAATTAATTTCAATAGTAAATTAAAATTAATGTCATTTTATTTACATGGATATTATTTTTATTTGGTATTTGATATTATTCTACATAGATTAAATAAAAGTCTGTGTAAAATTTTTGTGTAAACATTTTTTAAAATTTTTAGGTCTAAAAGCAAATGAACAAAAATCGTATCAATTCTTGAAAAAAGAACTTCCCGTTCGATTGGCTAATATCATGAAAGAAATTCACCTACTGCCCGACAATTTGTTAAAAATGCCTTCCGTGAATTTAGTGAATAACTGGTACGCTCAATCATTCAAAGACGTATTGGAGTTTGAAATCGATGATGGCTTAACCGAAAGTACATTGTCCAAGTAAGTTTAAAATATAATATTGTTTGAAATTATGGTGTTTTATTTTTCATACAAATTGAAATCAAGTTGACTTCAACTTTTAACTCGTATTTAACATTCTTTTGTTTTGTTTTTAGATTTACACAGGCGTTGGTGAAAATACGAAATCGACATTCTGACGTTGTTCAAACAATGGCCCAAGGCGTACTCGAGCTCAAGGAATCCCACAAAATAGACACCCATACAGAGAACAGTATTCAATACTTTCTCGATCGGTTTTACATGTCTCGAATCGGCATACGAATGCTTATAAATCAACATAGTGAGTATTAAAAAAAAAAAAAACAATTTATAATGTTTTACCTATATCCAATCGAGCGATTGAATCCAAATAATAGATGTGTTTTTGAATAGCTCTGCTGTTTGGTGAACATCTTAAAAACAACCAATATCAACATATTGGATGTATCGATCCGAATTGCAATGTAATGAACGTTGTAAAGGATGCGTACGAAAATGCCAGATTTTTATGCGATCAATACTACTTGACCTCTCCCGAACTACAAATTAACCAACCTTTAGGTGAGCTTCTCATATGTATTTAAAAAAAAAAAAAACGTTTAAGAACTAATTAATCAGATAATCTGGCCTTATTTTTTTAAGCGACACCGGCTTACGTGAGTTCATATGGGGTAAGACATAGATAGTCTTGCTTGAATACACGTCAGCCGCCGCCGTTTGTAACAAATTGAATGACTTGTCTAACAATACAATTTCTCTCTAAACTTGTATTGTCGTACAGATAGATGTGATGAAGAACCCATAAGAATAGTGTACGTGCCGTCACATTTGTATCACATACTCTTTGAGATTTTTAAAAACGCCATGAGAGCTATCGTGGAACACCATAAGATAGATGTTTTACCTCCACTGATAGTAACGTTAGTCAAGGGAAAAGAAGACATCTGTGTTAAAGTAAGTACCATAACATTTTTTTTTATTAAAGATGTTTATAGTTTTTTAATTTCACCTACTTACATTAATTTATATTTTAGTTAAATTTTTTTTCTATCAACGTTAATTAAGCAACATGTTATCAAAACAATGTAAACAATAAATCAGCACTATACAGGGTAGGGTCAAAAACTGATTAGTACCCTATGCCCTTGAAATCCGTCAGAGTATTAATTTAGTTTCAACTTTCTCTTCAGTATACGATATCTGATTTATGGAGAAATAATAGTCCAGCAAGAAAAGACAAATTATATTTTTTATTTTACAAACATTAAATAGTTTATAAAAATACCAAAGTTATTTTACAGCCCGGTACTTGATGAATTTTTATTTTTCTATTGCAATTTATACAACAATTGATTTGATAAAAATTTGATGATACAGTTCTTAATTGGCATTTTTTTCAATAACTTATGCTATAGTCATTTTTTTTTTAAAGATATTTTTGTGCTGTTTATACTTATTTGAATTTGTCTCATTTGGTTGTGTTTAAAAGAATTTGCTTAGTTTAATTACTTCACCAAACATTTACTTGACATTGACTTCAACAAAGAAATGTCGAGCGATAATTTATTTATTTAAACTGAATTGCCGTATTATTTCCGATTCAGAGCACCGTGTAATTTTTCAGAGTAATTTCAACAAATTAGAATTTTACAAATTAAATGTACAAACTAGGTATAAAATTACTCCTTGTTTGAACACAACTCAAGGCGAAAGCAGCGTTCATGGAAGAAAAATCAGAAAATAGAAGAAGACTGGGAAAAAGAACGGAATAAGTTAAAGAGGTTTCATTTTAATATTGAATTGCCTTGTTTAATTTTATAACATTGCCCAGGTTTGTTTCCTTTTTCCCATTCATTTAATTTAATTAATTTTTGTTTTTAATGATAGTTGATATTAATGCTTGTTATTTGTTTTTCATCTATATAAGTTTAACCTTAATCCGTTAAACAGACTAAAAAACAATGTCTTGTAAGGTATTTATACCTTCTCAGTAAAGGTGCAGATTTAAATAAAAGTAGGCTTTATAAAAAATAAAATAACTTGATATTTTTTTAATCGACAAAATACTGAAATTGTTTTCACTAAAACAACTTTTAATCAAAATGAGCTGAATAATAAGTGAAGCTAAATAATACAACGGATGATCGAATGCTGAATTGACGTGGAATCTTACAGTCAAACCGGCAAAAGTCAATTATTAATGTAAACATTATTTATTACCGCCCTATAATAATAAAAAACTGTTTCTATCATTAATTTTGGTCGTTAAAAATAATTTATCACTGGAATATTAGTCCAAAGATCTTATACTAGACTTTGTATAATGTCCGTTTGCAAAACCTTATCTCGAAAGCATTTGTTATTAAAATTAATTTTCTCATTAAATAAATTATAGAAATTCTACTAATGGTCAATTAGTAATTGGTCAATAATTAGTCAGTCGTTATTTAAACAGAAATGTTCAACAAGTATTGTTAAAAATATTTGCCTAACCAAAATCTAGATATTTTTAACATATATTTTGTATTTGTATCGTTATCAAAGCAATCGTTATGGTGTCAATCGATAGAGTATGCACAGATTAAAAGTTTCATTCAGAACTTCGGTGAATATGTTTTTCATGCATTTTACAAATAATATAATAATATTTTTTATTGAATTTTAAGACTAAGAAACAAACGTGTTTTGGGTACTACAAATAATATCCGGTGTTGTGGTCGCAGTTTTTATACTTGGTCGTCAAAAACCACTTTAATAGGGTTTTTCATCGTTTTTTATTGGCTAATTAAACTAATAAAACATAGGTACCATTATTCGGCATATATTTGTTACAGCCCTGATTAGATGATGTTTATTTGTTCGATAGGGCTATTAAATAGCGTTTCGCTAAATCCTAGTACGATAAACCTGTTGACGATGTTAAAAAATTATCGTTCTCAAATTATTAATTATTATTATCCTCAAACCGTTTGTCAATGAACATTATTATTAGTTTTTTTTTCACTCTGAATGAAAGATTATCGAGTGCCCTGACGTAGGCTATAAAAAAGTATGGCTGTGTGATTGCCAATGGTTGTTTGTTTACAGTTACAATATTATAATGATGTTGCAGTAATTATTTTCAATAATATTTTTCTGTATTTATTCGCGCACACAAGATAACCTTGTGACGTACATATACACTGCCAATTTATATATAAAACTAATGTGCAGTACATTGTAACCTTTTTTTTAATTATTACAAAAGTGAAAACCACTTAAGCAAGTGCTTAATAAATTTAGATAAAAACCCCATAGATAAAGTTTCAAGTGATCTCCGTTATTACGTGGACGCCAATTTTAATATTATCTTTAATTTACAATACTCGACGTTGAACTGATCAATTAATTAAACAAGCAAACATACAAAAGACCAATAATGAACCACTGTCATATAATAATTTATTGAAATAAAAACATAATATTTTATATTGAACAATTTACTATTTGATTGTTTTCAAATAGCATCATTCGATTAAATAACAAAATAACGCCTATTAGAATACAATAATATTTCATTAGCAATAATACAAAACGATAATTACCTACTTAATTCGCCTAGCTTTTTTTTACTATTACAAAAAGATTACCCGACTCGAAAAGTTCTTTTTAAATAAATAACATATTAAACTTGTCATTGATGTATGTCATAGTGTAAAAATGTAATAAATGAAAAACAAAATCGTTTTTACCTAAACTACAAAATCGTTTAAATGCATAATAAAAATGTATTCATAATATGAACTGACGAAAACTTAGTCATCTTTTTTTTACAATACAATTTTTTATTTGAATAGTAGATTATTTAAATGACGTCCAGCTCTGAATATGTTATGTATAAATGATATGCATAATAATAAATATACAAGTAATTTCCTGTAATATTTTTTCTGTAATTCTATTAGAAAATTTGTGTTGTTTAGTTGAAGGTCATTGCATTATTTATCAATTTTTATTTTCCTTATTAATTAAAAAATTATATATTAAATTACAAATGCCGTTTCAATAACGTCCAATTATAATGCTTGAGTACAATTCTGTATTTTTTTCTGACGTGAGTTTATAAAGAGTGTTAAAAAAGTACACTAATTTTTAAGTATAAGAATTTGGAACTTTTGTTTAAGTTAAAACGTCTATTAATTGTTACCCCTGAATTTTGTATTATGTGGAGAAAATATACGTTGTATATATTTATTAGCAAAAGTGTAATTTATAAGTGACACAATTTTTAATTGTAGCCTCTTAAAAGTTTGACTTTTTGTACTTGGCACCATTGATAAAATATTCTCATTTAGAGAATTAAATACCAAAATCAAAATGTTCTTAACGACGTTTCGTTTGTTTTAAGTTAATGTTTTTTTTTTCAATACAATATTGAAAATATTATTGTCTTTTGTTTGGTACGTTGTTTTACATCGTTTAGCACTGATACATATATTTAGCATCGTTAAAATAAATGTTATCCGTCTTGTTGACCTTTCGAAATTAACTTATATGGTACGAAAAGAGATTAATATTATGATACTTGCTAATCAAAATAATGTTTTAGTTCTAAAAACTATTAATATTTATTAGTATGTCTTACTTTAAATATTAAATGATATTGTACTTGATTGTTTTTACATAATACTGTTGTAATTGTATACAACGATAGTACATTGTTATTTTATTTATTATTCTGCGATATTAATTGTTGTATATATTTTTTCGGGGGTAATTAAGTCAATTATATTAAATGGCTCTTATATGCAGAGACTTTAAAGTACCTAATACGACAAGTAGTCAACTGATAACAATAGTGTATTGTCTAAGACAAACCTGGGAATTATTTAAATCCTTTTTTTAATTTAAACAATGTTTTAAATAATTATTTAAAATACAAATACAATTAAAATACAAATACAATTTAAAATAAATACCTAATTCGTTTTATTTAACTCTTATTTACCATAACGGCAAACAAATTATTTAAATGCATTTCAATTTTAACTTAAATTCAATTTTTATTTAAAAATGCATTTGAAATAACTCATTATTTTCAATTTTTACTTGTTTAAATTGGAAATACTAAATTTAGTTACTTATACACGGTAATTTATGAATAAAATTGAATCAGTTCATTTATTAATTATGAAAAATTATTTCAAATAAATATCATAAATAAAAAATAATTTATTACAAACAGTAATGAAACAGAAATGTGTTTAAAAAAAAAATTATTTGACGCTCAAAAAAACAAAGGAGTTATTCTAAAAAAATGTATTATTATTTATTTTTTTTTTTAAATCATTATTTGTTGTTTGTAGAAAAATTGGCCCTGATCTGGTTATCGTTAAGAACAAAAATATGGTTTACTCATGTATACAACTTGGCCATTTCCAACTGTGTGGAACATTGTTTACTGTTTAAATTCTTTCGTTCTAATATTTTTATCATCATACCTTTAAAAATGATATTTAATATCATATCTACTGTATAATTCCAAAAACAAAAAATGAATTTTTTTTTGTTATTTCTAGGTGTCTGATCAAGGCGGTGGCATTCCAAGAAGTTTGAGCGATCAGTTATTTCATTACATGTACTCGACTGCTCCGCAACCGTCAAAATCCGATGCGCATACAGTGCCGTTAGCAGGAAAGTATATTTTGGTTATGAAAACACTTTTTCCCGATATTATCTCTCGTTTTTTTTTTAATAATTAACAATTTTTACTGTTAATAGGGTACGGATATGGTCTGCCTATATCTAGGCTTTACGCTAGATATTTACACGGAGATTTAGTGTTGATGTCGTGCGATGGATACGGTACTGATGCTATTGTATACATGAAGGTGCGTTTAAAAAAATTATATATTTATATAAACTGCAATAAACTCAAAATGAACATTGAAAAACAATTTAGCCAAAGTATAGTAAAAATGTTGTTTTATCATCCGTACAGGCGTTGTCGAACGAAGCCAACGAGTTGTTGCCTACATTCAACAAAATGTCCACCAAATTTTACAAAAACACTATACAAACTGGTGACTGGAAGGGCAGTTATGCATCACAGAACCAAAAGCACTACAATACTTAGAGTACAAACTGAACTACTTTCTCATTGGTCTTAGTCATTTTTTAAAACAAACATTATGAAGAAAACCCAAAAATTTTCTTGCCTTGTTATGTTTGTTTATAGACTTTTTTTTATAATTGTGTTAGTACACGGTTTAGTGATAAAACGGAAATTCTCAAATGTAGTTCCTCTACTTTCCGGTGTCTTTTTTTTTTATTTTGTTAGCTCATCGAGTATATTATAATAATAATTATTATCGACTCTATTAAGACTTATTTTATAGAATTGGAAAAATTGAATTTATTATAACCGTAATATTGTGGTATTATATGTTTATGGTTTACCGTACCAAATACAGTTTATATATCAAATTGTATATTATTTGTAATTCACGTGTGGGGGCAAAGGTGTCTGAAGTTGATCGAGGTCAAGTAAATTTTGATTTTACTCTAAATGTAAGACAATATTATTACTGTCAGGTATGACTTGTTTTAATTTTTCATAGCGGCAGATTAGTTTGGATGATATTACTTGGGTAAAGTTTAAGTATAAATATCAAATACTTTGACTTATGTGTTGTGAACTTTAAAGAAAATTTACTAGTTATTAAACTTATTGAACATGATTACAATACTTTGATCTTCCACTATATTGACAGTGATTTTAATAATTGAAATTATTATTTTTATTTATCAATTTTTCTTCTAGAATTATTTTTTAAAAAATTTGACATACTACATTAAGTTTCTTTTTAGCAAAATGGTGTTTACAAAATAATATTATTCCTAACTGATTTTATGTTTTTTCCAATGCAAAACCATGTGAAATTAATTTGATTCCAAATTAGTTACCAATTTTTAGACTAGTCATTTGTTGTTTTTTTTTTTAGCTTAAAATTAAGCAGTTATATATAAATTTAAATAATTATTGTAAACTGTAAAATGTAAGTACCATTTGTTTGTCGTTGACAAAATTGACTGTAAATTAAATGTGAGTATGAAATTTTAGTTTTTGCGTTTTATAATATATCATATCAAGTGAATATACATAATTTAGTAATTTTCAATGACATTTTTAATTTGAATTTTGTAACCAACTTAACAAATCGACTTGATATTTATTTTGCAAAGTTTGTTAGGTTTCATTATAAAAAAAAAACATACTAGGAGTAGAAATTTATAAAATATGAAAAGAAGTTTATAATTTTTGTTATTGGTTTTGATAATCAAACTTTGTTTTTACAAAAAAAAAAAGTGTATAATTTCAAATAGAATGTTAGCATTAGAAGTTTTAGGGCTTAAGGTCTGAAAATTGGATCTAAGGTAGATTGGGGCTATAATATCTACAACTTTCTCAAAAATAAGAAGTCAATTTTTTTTCTATAAAGAAAAACCAATAAAAAGTATTGTTTCTGTATATGTGGTACAATTACAATTTTTTTTTTGTATTGCATGTAACAATTAAAGTTTAAGTGACAGAGGCCTGAATAAAACATAAGACCGTATAAACAAACTATGTATTGAATTTGTTTAATGTACTATTTGGCGTGTGGTTGTTCTTAAAGTAATGTTATCGAAAGTCAGTCTATTTATGAACATTAAGAAATTGTTTGATTAGATGTTAAAAGGTTAAAGCAAATTGGAGAAAACCTTAAACAGGCTGATTAGCCTAAACATCAATAAAAAAAAAAGTTTAATTTAAGGCTGGGCTTATATTTTCAGGAAAGCTATTTGATATTTTACCTTTTTAGATAACTTGAGACTTCTGAAAATACTAGATTAACTTGCATAATTAATCAACTGGAGTTTGATAGGCAATAAAAGAATCTAAAAAAGCTAGTTCTTTGTCATCCTACGTGAAACGTAGCTCTTAAGCACTACTTGTACTTATTTTTAATGAACAGCAAAATAATTAGTTATTTGGCGATGGTTAAAAAATGTGCCTTATAATTAATTACAAAAGATCGATTGCTTTTTAGTTAACTTAATATATAATAATGATTGCAATTTTGTTATGGCTGTAATATTGTATAGTATGTATAAAACAACTAAAATATTTTCTGCTTCACTGCGAAGCTGTGTTAGGTATTAATTCTACTAACTCTTTTGTTCTGGACCGATCAGGGCCGTCTTAGGCTATGCAGAGGCCTTTTGTCACTATGAATTTTGCGGCCCTTTAAGAAAACCATAAAAAACTTAAAGGTATAGTACTTAAGTACTAAAAAAATGTATTATAGTGTTTTTACAGCGGTTTTTACTAGTGTTTCTTTATTATTTATTAACGGTCAGTTAATAAATGGTCGATTTTTTCAGAAAAAAACAGTGGTCTTAGAACATTGCTAAGTACTTAGGTACTTGAGAACTAAAAAACTTACTTTTAAAGTTATACTTTTATAGTTTTATATTTTACAACGTACGTCGTGTATGTATTGTAGCTCTCTTTGATTCGGCGTTTCAATAATTTATTACTGAAGAAAATGAAAACAGAAAAGCTTTCATCATTTTAACTTAACGTAAAACATTGTTGGATGCTTTTCTCGATTTTGAAGCGGAAGATGTTTATGTTTTGAATTTCTGAAAACATTTCGATTTATTTATAACAACACTTAAATTATTATTCCTGTTATTCTCTAGTAGCTTTAAATTTCTAACTTAAACAGCCAACAGCTATCGTAGATTTCATATTATATAATCGGCTGGCGTGCTAGTAAGTTTTGTTATAATAAACAACAGTCTTGAACATAGTCGAAACAAGAATAAGGTACTTTATTAGACTAGACACTTAAAAAGTTCATTCCTTCCCCTTCAAAGTCGAAAACAACACCCGAAAAATTTACATTTTTTTTCATCTTAAAATTACAACGCTCCATAATATTTTTATCAAAATAGTCCAATATTAGTTCCAAATTTGTATAGAATATTCTTAAGACATAGTACGATTGACAAACGTTGATAACCTAAACAATTATATTCTCCTACAAGGGGTGGAATTTTTTTCTTTCTTAGTTTTAGGGGTTTACGTTTGACAATTAGAAAAAAGATATATGTAGAATGGCGTTATAACATAAAATTGTTCTCAAAAATCTGTAGTCAAACATTTTTTTTTATTAAGAAAAACCCCAAGAAAAATGGGGAAAATTACACTTTGACAGTAGTCAGTTTTTAGGTTGTTATGTGCGGTTTATATACATACTACCCACATAATCGCATCGAAGCGTTTAATTAAAATCGATTTTATCACTTAGAGTTATAATAATTCCTGTAGACCTGTGCACTAGGTTTTTTTAACCAGTCATTCTTATCCTACTGCGTATATGTTTATAAATACATCATAAGATATTAAAAATATTCAATTTATTAAGTTATTTTTGTACGCAGTTGTACTTTTGTCGAAAAATGTATTTATACAGATATATTTATTATTTAAAAATAGAACACAGTATGTAAAACAACATTGAAAGATAACTCTTCGCTCGTTGAAATTTACCTACCCACTCTGAACATAATATTTTTCATAACTTATTTTAGTACTAAGTACGTCGTACGCAAGATTAAACATTTGTGCAAATATCCAAAAAAAAAACACGAGAGTACAATAATAATGTATTTATTTTCATAATATATTTGTTCTTAACCAATTTATTTATGTTAGTCATAACATAGACTGATAGACACTTGTTTTGATGTCATTAAACTGTGTATTGAAAGTTATCGGGTATAAAAGTGACCGAATTGAACACTAAACAATATAGCTTCTTCTGTAGCCACGGTAAATTTTTGAATTTTGACCAATCCAAAATTTCAGTATATATACATACATAATTCTATTATGATAGCCAAAATATTCAACATGCTATTTACGATATATTTCATATTATCTGTTAAGTATAAAACTTTAAAAAAAAATTGTATTATTTAACATTTATTTATAATTAAACTTAATTGTTTTTTATTTTTATTTTGCAGGCATTGTTTGGCATTATAAATAGCGTCGATAATGAAAAATACCCTATGAGTAGTCAGGTAAAATTTAATTAAAATTATAATTTTTTAATAACAATAAGTAAATATGTTTTGCCACAAAATATAAAAACGTTTTTAACAGTTGATTCAGTTGTATAAAAAGCTAAAAGGTAATACCTATATATGATAATTTACTATTTCAATCGTGAATAAAAAATATGTTTTAACTATTAACGGATTTATTTCTAATTACTAAAAGTATTGTTCATGATTCAAATTTAACTTTGAGATAGTTTCATTTGTTTTATCTAAAAGGTATTAATAAGGACACGATGGTAAACGTTGCCCACTCATAACCTCAAATTAAATTTTAGCTTAGAGACTTGCAATTTACACTAAAAATGAGATTATTTTTTTATTAAAAAACATTTATATTATATGTAAAGATATATTTGCAAAAAAATAGTTCAGCAAAAAGAACATATTTTTACATAACACTAAATAAATGTAAAAAATTATACATCTGTGATAGGTTTACAAAAGTTGATTAAGATGACAATTTTTCAATGCTTTCGGGGAAATACATTATTTTTTAATTGATAATAAAATTCTAAAAAAAATGTTAATACCGTACATTTATTCCTTATGATACTAGCAATTTAAATGTAATCCAAACATTTATTTTTGATTAATATACATAAAAAGGATAAAAAGAACGCAACATATTTTAGACATCAAATCAAACTATTTATTTTGACAAATCAGAAAAAAAATGTTTTAAATATTAACTGCCTATAGCCACCATAGTTTGATATGAAACCACATAAACATACCACATTATGCCACTTTGTGTAATACTTACTTTTTTTAAAAATTATTAGTATTACCTTTACAAAAATCGTCAAAAATTGCCATATCGACTTCTGAGTTCTGTCATCCTACAACAGACTTATTGTATTTGTAAATAACTTGTATAAATATTATAATGTTATATACAATATACTTATGTACTATTGTATATAAAAAAAAAATACTAATTAAATGTTTATTTTTTTTATAAATTAGACTGACCCCAAATATACTCCACGGGATAATGACTTTGACTGGGTATGTTTTAAATGGTTATTATGTACCGAATATGTATATTAGTTGAATAAGGAAGAAAATCATACAATAAAAAATTTTAATTATAAACGGTACAGTACAGATGCACAAAACGTCCCGTGACAATCCACAAATTTACATTTTAAATGTTATATTGCCCGTATTCTGGCTAAAATACAATTTGAACAAATACATTTTTTTTTTTTTTTAAACACACTGTAAAAGTTGTTTAAAAATATACAATCTCCTATTGACAAAATAATAATCACTCCTTAATTCGAACTACTCCAAATGTCTCGAGACTTTTTGGACAACAGCATGTTTTTTTCTAAAGATGTAAAAAATATAAATGGTTGTATTTTCTTTTTATAGTCTAAATTGGATGGTCCTGCTTTGAGTAACTATATATTATATGGATATGTCGACAATCCAAGTTCAAGTGTATTTAGTCCAAACGACAACGATGACTGGCCCATCGGCGTTGACGAATCGTATAATTAATTAATATATAATATAATATAAATATTTTGTTTTAAACCATATCATCACATTTATAGAAAATCATTTAACCATTTTTAATAAATTATTATTATACTCTGTTTTGATTAATGCAATTGTAAAAAAAAAGCAGCCATTCGTTTAGACTCATGCCTCAAGATTACCGACAGTAATATATTATGAATTCTGCTCAAAAGCATGTACGGGTAAATATATTTATAGCCAAGGTCTGAGATAAGGGAAGGGG